TGTGCAAATAAGATACGTTGGGGTGCCCCTGTGCTCAACAAAGAAATATTGCATTTCCCACTTTTCCTGAAATTGTCGGTGCTCATCACCAATCTTTCTCTTCACCGCAGGCTTTGAAAAAGACATGTTTGGGGCTATGTAACATTTATAATTCTACTTGGTGTCACTGTTGCATTGAAGTTTCAATCAAGCATTTAGCCGACGGACGGGGAACGTCTCAACGCATAGAGAACGTCATTTCCCCTTCTTTTTCTTGCAACTGTAGCACGGCGATCGGCAGATAAAAAGCTGGTAGCAGTCTCCTTTGTTTTTACGCTCGATGTTCTCGTCTTTCATGATGACACGAACACCGTGGCATTTGCAGAGGCTAGAAAGTACAGGGATAGCGAGCGCAAAAAAGGCAACTGCTCACGGACTGTTATCCGCCGAGCTGTTGTTACAGGAAAAAGAAGAGGAAATGACACCGTGACATATAACAAATAACATCACCTGTTTCTGATGTTAGTTGTTTTGACTGCTTTTACATTATATTGAAATATATGTAATGTTCATGTATGCTGCAATGCAAACGGAGTGATGCAAATAAAAACATCGACCCACAAATTACGCTGCGACCCTATACTTAGTCCAGGTTACCGGGGACTGTTATTGCCAATGAACAGGTGTCGCTATGTCACTGCAGACTAAATTGGGCTGCATTGAGTTCATTACTTTTCTTTTATCCCGCCGCCTACGCATCACAGAGTTAATATGAGGTCTCTCTCTGTGCAAAAATAACTAAAAATCCCACTGACGTGTGTATGAATCTATATTCGTGTAATGTCCCGCTGGGCAGCAACTTAAAAAAACAACTTTTTTTGAAGTGTTGTGAACGCAGCATGCTGGGGCAAATGTCCGTGTTTGCCCAATAGAAAGGAGGCAGCCAGCCAGGCACAGAAAAGTAACAAAGACTCCAGGGCAACGCTGCTGTAACTTTTACTCATTGCTTGCATCAAGCCCGGCTGATGTCCCCTGAGATCCAAAAAATGCACTCAGTTTACTTTTTACTCACTATGAGCATCATTCATTATTCTCCCCCAGTAATTAAGGTTAGGAAATGTATTTTTTTATTCCAATCCATTCTTCATTTGCATTAGTCTTTGCAGCATTTAAATAACCTTTATCAGATTTGATGGTTTTGTTACAGACTTTTCAAAAAAGTGTTTTTCTTTTGTTTCACAAATGTGGGGATTAAATTGTGTTAAAAT